ATTCCGCCCCCAGAAGACGGTAGGATTCCGTCCCAGAAGACGGTAGGAGTCCGCCCCAGAATAGGGTAGGATGCCGCCCCATAATAGTGTAGGTTTCCGCCTAAAATACGGTAGGATTCTGCCCCAGGAGAAGGTAGGATTACCGCCTCAGAATACGGCAAGATTCTGCCCCAGGAGACAGAAGCATTCCACCTCAGAATACGGAAGGATTCCGTCCCAGAATAGGGTAGGATTCCGCCCGCAGAAGACGGTAGGATTCCGTCCCAGAAGACGGTAGGATTCTGCCCAGAATAGGGTAGGATTCCTCCCCAAAGTAGGGTAGGATTCCGGCAAAAATACGGTAGGATTCCGCTCCAGGAGACGGTAGGATTCCGCCTCAGAATACGGTAGGATTCTGCCTTAGAATACGGGAGGATTCTGCCTGAGTATACGGTAGGATTTTGCCTGAGAATACGGTAGCATTCCGGCCTAGAAGACGGTAGGATTCCGTCCGAGAATAGGGTAGGATTCTACCCCAGAAGACGGTAGGATTACACCCCAGAATACGGTAGGATTCCGCCCCAGAATACGGTAGGATTCCGACCCAGAATACTGTAGGATTCCGCCCCAGAATACGGTAGGATTCTGCCCCGGGAGACGGAAGGATTCCGCCTCAGAATACGGTAAGATTCCGCTCCAGAAGACGGTAGGATTCCGTCTGAGAATAGGGTAGGATTCTGCCCCAGAAGACGTTAGGATTCCTCCCCAGAATACGGTAGGATTCCGCCCCAGAATACGGTAGGATTCCGACTAAAATACGGAAGGAGTCTGCTCCAGGAGACGGTAGGATTCCGCTGTAGAAGACGGTAGAATTCCGCCTCAGAAGACGGTAGGTTTCCGTCCCAGATTAGGGTAGAATTCTGCCCCAGGAGAGTGTAGGATTCCGCCACAGAATACGGTACGATTCCGCCCCAGAAGACGGTAGGATTCCGCCCCAGAAGACGGTAGGATTCCGCCCCAGAATAGGGTAGGGTTCCGCCCAACAAGAGGGTAGAATTCCTCCAAAAATACGGTAGGATTCTGCCCCAGGAGACGGTAGGATTCCGCTCAGAATACGGAGAGATTCTGCCCCAGGAGACGGTAGGCTTCGGCATCAGAATACGGCAGGATTCCGTCCCAAAATAGGGTAGGATTCCGCCCCCAGAGGACGGTAGGATTCCGTCCCAGAAAACGGTAGGATTCTGACCCAGAATAGGGTAGTATTCCTCCTCAAAGTAGGGTAGGATTCCGCCTAAAATACTTTAGGATTCTGCTACAGGAGACGGTAGGATTCCGCCTCAGAATACGGTAGGATTCCGTCCCAGAAGACGGTAGGAGTCCGCCCCAGAATAGGGTAGGATGCCGCCCCATAATAGTGTAGGATTCCGCCTAAAATACGGTAGGATTCTGCCCCAGGAGACGGTCGGATTCCGCCTCAGAATACGGTAAGATTCTGTCCCATGCGACGGAATGATTCCG